ACCCGTCCAGGACATCATTCACAATCGCAAGGTAATTGCATTACTCAACAGCTTGCATTGGAACATTTCTTCAATTCGGACGAACCTAACATTATGTCAGCTTTCTTCTCTATAAGTTCAATCGGATATCATAAACATCTCTCCTAGACTACTACGTTTTATCGAACTATAGTTTTTCTCCTAATCGCTTTCATACAGGTATGCGTGAATACTTTCACAGTCATTGTGAAGGGCTGATGTCTTGGTTGGATGACCAGAGTAGTAATTCGTTTGCAGCGTTTATAGAAGGGTGGGCGTTATACAGTGAAAATCCAGTCATGTCAGACGATACAGATGTATACAATGATAATCCAATACAGAAATATGGCATGTTCAAGTGGCAGGTAGGTCGTGATATTTTTTAATGTTCTTCTTTCCCTTCTTGTTTTAATGCGCGGGTAATCTTCAAATAGTAAGGATGTGTATTGGATGGAGCACGTACACCGTAGATTACAAGATTTCTTTTGAATCGTTCTTTGCAAGTCCTATAATCTTCTTAATTCCATCATTCTCCATTGTCTTTGTCTCTTTTCAGTTCATTTAAAGATCAGGCTTCTTTTGTATCGACTTCCTTCATCTCTCGCATCATTCTCCCTAACTCCAATATCTCATCCACAATCTCCTAATTCCATCACTCCATCTTATCTTTTGTCTTCCTCTGTCTTTTGTCTCTTTCCTTTATTTAAAATTCAGGCCTGCTTGTACATCGTCTTCTTTCATCTCTTCTATCCTCCCCAAGTTCAATATCTCTTCCATATTATTATTTATTTCATCCCTCCATCTTATCATTGCTCTTCCTCTGTATCTCTTCCCTTTAATTAAAATTCAGGCCTACTTGTGTATCTATCCTCTTCCTTAATCTCTTCCATCCTCTCCAAGTCCAATATCTCTTCCATAATATTCTTTATTTCATCCTTCCATCTTATCATTTGTCTTCCTCTGTATCTCTTCCCTTTATTTAAAATTCAGGCCTGCTTGTGTATCGTTTTCGGTTTTCCTTCCCCCATGTCGAATATCTCTTCCATAATCGTCTTAATCCATCACTTTATCTTGCCTTTTGTCTGTTCTAAATTTTCTATCATCCATTCTAATAATTTTTTCTCTTCTTCCTTGATGATGCACGGCCAGTAACCAAAGTTTTGTATGCATGTAGGTTATCGAGCAACTTGTAAAAACTTTCACTCTCCTTGTCCAATGAATACCAAATTTTACAGGAGACTAACTAAACTTTCCAAAGTTCTTCGCATTTAAATACATAGAAGCGTAAATACATGTGTGGTAAATGTGAAACCTTAACTTTACAGATTTGGCGAGCTTTAAGATTAATTATCGACACTGGATTACATAGCAGAGGAATGAAAAGGTTAGTGCTACTTTATATGTACGATTTTTCCCATTCATTGTTCGTCCAAATGTCCTACAATAGATTCCAAATGTCCTACATATCGTTAACATGACATATCAGTAACATCACATAACATAACATAACATAACATAACATACAGTTGTATATCAATTTTGAACGGATAGAGCCATCCAGTATAAAGAAAGTTAGTTATAAACGATTAGCCTCACTAGATATTTAGGAAGAATAGTATGTAATTGGTAAAGCCATCCATGCAGTATAAATAAAGTGTGGTTTGTTTATAATTAAGCCAATTTTTCTTTCCCCGTAGAAACGAAGCATTGGAACTCTTCGACAAATTTGCCTGGGATAAAACAGATTTTGCAGTGAAGGAGCTCACACGTTATCAAAGCTGCCCCGGTCAGGCTACGGCTTACATGATTGGTCGGTTAACGATAATGGAACTACGTGAGAAAACCAAGAGAGAATTGGGCGAGAAATTCAACTTAAAAGACTTCCACTATCAAGTACTATCGCAAGGGAACGCCCCGTTGTCGTTCTTGAGAAAATACATTGAGAAATACATAGAATGTGTGAAGAACGATTCGAACACTAGTCTATGCCAATCGATTACTGGACCACAACAGAAATCAACAGAGAAGTTCAACAAAGAGCATGCAGCTCATAAAATGAGATTAGCGCACATGCACATTAGATCTCGTCACAGACATTACCCGTGAAGTGTTGCCGGAAGAGTCTTTTCAATCATTGTTCCTAGGACTGGGAAATCGCTAGATAGTATGTTTCAAAATGTTCCGCGAGGAGACCGAGACTGTTAAAATTTATTTTTATAAAATAAACCGGTAAACCAAACCTTTCCCTAACCAGTAAATGTCTAATAAACAATTTGATTTCGCGGAAACCTTATTTTAAAATATACTATCCAGCCTTTAAGACCCGTTTACACTTGCAATTTTTGCTGCGATTTCTGGTGCGATTTTCTTCTTCTGATGTATGTGAACGAGTCACAAGTGGATGAATTACAGTGAACTCTAAGGGAACTGGAACGATAACTTGGCGGCTATCTTTGAAGCCAAATTGAAGGCCGCCATGTACGTATGGAGTGGAAAATACGCCACCAAAAAGATGTCTGTTTTTGACCACTAAATAGCCGTATTTCAACAAGGAAAAAAGCTAAAAACTTTCAACAATACCTGAAATTTAATACAAAACATGTTTCCAGAACGTAGAGCAGTTATAAAGTTCTTTTT